ATTTCGACCGATTGTTAACAGATTCGTCGAAAATATTTTCCTTGATCAAATGTCGAATTTTTATTTGATCGAGAATTTTCAGCGACAGCCGTCCATCCGTATGCCACACCGCCACCAACTGCACACCCGCCGCCAATGAAAAGAACTTTCGATAATGTCCTCACAAAAGCACCCTCCTCCTCTGGAACGTCTCAACTGGGTCCAAAGATGGACGAACCACCCAGAAAATCCTACCGAGCCCCATCACCTGTAAAAGATTATCGAAACCCATCGACTTTGGCATTTCGGGATTTCAGTCAAACCTGAGAAATGTTATATTTTGTTACTGAATTTTATATCGTTTCCCAATTTCGCTTACATATTGTTATGTTTGACAAGATGGATCCAATGTTAGTGAAACGGTTGTATTACGTTTGGTCTATGTATGTATATTTTTCTGCCATGTTGTTCAAGTTATAATTCGTTGATGAGTTTCATTCGTTTTGGTATAATAATTGTTGTCATCTATTGGATTTTGATATAATTTTGATATTTGATTTATGTTCATTTTTCGTTCGTTGCGTGTAAAATGTTTTTCCGCTTTTATTTTTTGATTCAGCAATAAACTTACGAAATCGTTCAATATTGCTTATTTTGGTACGCAATTCAGACATGTGAATGTGGTATGAAATGCCGCTCATTAATTGTTTTTTAGTGTAGAATATGAACATCTCATCAATACGTTTGAGGTTATCAGTTTGATTGGCATGTTAAACATATTGATACTGATACATATAATGGTAGCAATGGAAGAGAATCATTCAAATTGTCTACTTAAAGAAAGATTAGAAACCATCGATCGTTCTTCATGCACATCGAAGGAGGACAACACATAGTTCTCAAAAACTTTGTATATGATTCGCACTGAACTTCGTCGGAATTATCCCTAAGAAAATGATAGATCTGTTTGATAGTGTAAAAATCTGATTTCTTTGAAGTTTTCAAAAATCAACATTTCGAAAAAAAATCAGAAAGATGAAAATTCTTCGGAGAAGGTTTTCGACGAGCGATTATTTTCACAGCTAAAACGCCTTTTCTCGTGCTGTCAACAAAACCGAATGTTCCATGAACATTTCAGCTCATATACCTCAAGCAATTTCGCTCCCCTTTTAATGAGTTTTCTCAACAATTCAATTGTAATTGAAAGAATAAAAAAACAATGATCGTTTCTTTTTCACTGTTTATGAAGTTATGAGAAAATCTGTGGAAACTGTTCAGGGTGTAATAATTTTTGGTTACCATTATTATACTGAGCCAGAACGGCGCTTATTGGATATTGTATTAAAATTTCGTGTTTATTGACGATGTTGTCAATTGAATTTTTGTTTGATTGTTGTCAATGTTCATGCATCAAAGTCGCTCAATTAGAGCACCTATTGAACAGTTAGTTGTATTCATCAGCATTCACGCAAACTCTCTTATCGTTGAGTGCGACTCCTTTACGTGTCCTTGATCGATCGACTTTTATATCGCTTCCTTGAACTGAGGGCACATTTGCTATATCAACTGCCGCATCAGCAGTCGACACTATTCCATCATCAATTCCTCAATAGTTTATTCATCGCAATCAATATAATTATATTCAGCAACAAATCCAGCGAAGTGATCTCATTACATTGGATTATTGTATTGTGAGCGATAATTCAATTATCACTGCAAACTTTTATCAGATGTGGTTAATATTCAACAGTTTGTTTGCATTATTCCAAAAGCACATTTCGAGTGAAAAACAACTGGTTGAATTGATCAGTTACGCGATAATCGCTTTCGGAATTTTCGTTTTCCTATGGCTAATGAGTGGAGCAAAAGCCGCCTATGGACGTTACAACAGTGAATCAATCTTCACTAAGGCACTGTCTATTATGTTCATATTTCACATTATTTCTCGAAAATTTCTCATTTTTCTGAATTCTTTCTTAAACTTCGATAAGTTTTTCAGTCTGTTTTTGCGCTTTCATTGTTTGCAATTGTGCGGATGTTTCCTCTAGCAAACAGCAAAAAGCATTTCTGTTGCACACATTGAAGACAATCGTCAATTGTTGATGTTGTTGTAAATCGATCCTAATGAATCTGTGCCAAAGAAAACTCAGTAACTTGAGTAAATAATGAATATCTTTCATAAAATTGTTGTTCTATATCATACACCTTCATATTCTCCAATCCATTTGAATTCATGAGATTTCTTCTTCAACATATTCCATATTCTTCTAACAGTGAGACGAAGAAGCAGTTTCCATCCGGTTTTAGCAAATCATTTGCTGAATTGATTTTAGATCATGATCCCAGCTCGTTTGGCGTGGTTATTGCAAGAGGTGCCCTCTCTGATAATACCGCTTTGTTATGTGATCACTGCATTTGAAAGTTTATCAGCACCAAACTTTGTGATCATTTCACTCTTTATCATACACTATGCGCAGAGGTTTCATTTAGTTGTTTTTACAATTTTTTTTCGTTTTTGTTTTGGTCACTCGAATCGCACAATTTCTTAAGAATTTAACCATTGACCACAGACAAATCTGTGCGATTCACTGACATAATCATTGATTAGGTCACATTTCTTTGTTTAGCTTCAGTGATGAATCAATCGCTTTGCCATCCCATAATGTAATGAATAGTTTCACGTTTGCTTTTCTTAATCTCCGTCCAGAATACAGTGATCTTATTTTACTATATTTGATAAGTGTTTCAACCATTTAGAGGCTAGATTTTGGCCGATATATTATTACCAACTATTTACCAACAATTCACTGTATATTACCTACTATTCATATTCTCCTCAAAACTGTTAGCTTGATGATCAGAATTTTTCGAGATTACAACACTCCTTAATTTTTTTCTTTTTTGTAGATCTCTGGTGTATTCGTTTTTGATCAAAGGTGGCAAACCCACTCCGGTGCATTTGTTCTTAGGAGGGTTGCTCTTCTGTACGGTAAACGGTTATATTCAAGGTGTATGGCAAACGCGATATGTTCAATACGATACTTTTTGGCTTACAAAACCAATCACTTGTATTGGTTAGCTGTTTCTTTCTCTTTCGAACTTATTTGCAGTAATTAAGGCCAAAAATTTTCAAAAGGTTTGATTACTAGCCTCAAAAATTGTCTTTTGAGTATTAATTAAAATGATAATAAATAACAATAATTAAAGCAAATGATAACAATAATTAAAGCAATAATAATAATAATAACCTCAAAAACTCGTGATACTCGTCAAAAATTCAGTCGATCAACTCAGCAAAACGGAATCAGTTTTGATTCTTCAGGTATATCAGTATTCGTGTTGGGTGCGTTGGTGAATATTCAATCAGACGCCATCCTACGAAACCTCCGTCGACCAGGTGAAAAAGGGTATAAAATACCAAAAGGTGGTTTATTCGAGTACTGCTCGAGTGCGAATTATTTCGGTGAGCTGATCGAGTGGATCGGTTATGCACTTGCTGCACAAACCTTACCTTCGCTGACCTTCGCCGTATTCACATTCTGTAATTTGGCACCTCGTGCGCTTTATCATCATAAGTGAGTGCTTTTTGCTTTTACTGTACTAACAATTACTATCGTTGAGATTCTCATTCTTATCACTCATATCAGTTTTGTTCTTGTTGTTATTATTATCTGTATATATTGTTTGTATTGCAGGTGGTATCTGCAGAAGTTTGAAGATTATCCGAAAAATCGCAAAGCTATTATTCCATTTCTGCTATGATCAATTCGTTCATATTGCTTGCTTCATATTATTTTTCTTATTATTATTGTTATTGTTGTCGATCTTATCAGCATCGTAAACTCCTTATTGATTGGCGATTAGATGCGGTAGTATTCTCTGGCATTGAAATGAAGCTTTTGCATGATTCATTTTTTGGTTTTATCGTTGATAAAGAAGCTTAATTTATAACTGAAGCAATTATCGTCGTGAATAAAATTCTTATTCTTGCTATTATCATCATTATTTTGAAAAACCAATCATTTCTCTATTCTTACTTCTGAAAAAAAGGTCAATAAATATTTCTTGCTTTCTCTCACTTGTGTTTGTCCAAATAAAGCACGTCATCGAAATTAGGTATTATAGTGGTTGGTGTGGAAAATAATTTTTGTAACCAATATGAACATCAAAAAGTCAAAGCTAGATCTGAAATGTAATTCAGTGATAAAATGAATTGTATTTCTCAACAGCCGTAACGCAAGTGATTCAAACTTTCATTCGATAACGTGAGCGCTTACCTCTAGGCAGAAGTCGTTCCGAATGCACTGGTTCCAAACAAATATCATGATGATGACAGAATATGAAGGTACTGGCCACCTGAGCATGCCATATGTGACGCCTATAGCTAATATTGCAAATTTCTGAGGTCAATGTGTGATTTTGAAGGAGGTATGATATGCATAATGACTGTGCACGTAATAATAAGATCATAGTGCAACAATAGCTGACTCATCAGTAGCTCTTCTGATTTGTCTAGGGTTTCGAAATCGATGTGGGAGACTAATCTCTGACTTATCTGAAAATATCAATGCATTCTCTAATCTTAGCCCAATATCTCACTCGCTCTAATGGGCACTGCAAACAAATAACAAACTGACAGTCTCAAACCGAAAGCCGGGCACAATTTTTAACTACTAATTGTGTTCGCTGGATCAGATATGCAAGAAAATCTCACCGTTTTCGAATATTTCTGCGGAAGCGATTCATAAACGAAAAGCAGATGACCCCGTTTATTTATTCTTTTCCTCCTCTCCTGCAATCGAACTTGCGCTGCCGATTCTTTCGTTCATTGACAGTACTATTGCTGCAGTGCTTTTCTTAACTTGTTCTTCTTCTTTGGTGTTCGCTTCAAGCTTTGCCATCCAACTCTACGGCTTTCTCTACTGGCGTTGGATTCGATGATGACCTGAATGCCTTTCTTTTGCTATTCGTTCGTTTGGTTTCGGTGTTCTTCTTGACCACTTGATTCGATTTGTTGTTTGCTTTCACATTTTGACGTACTGTATTGACAGCACTTGCTTTTGCAGGTTGTTGCTTCATTATACCTATTTCCTCACCGTTTCTGAAGATTCCGCATCGAATCTGACTATTTTCAATTTTCTATTTTTAATTTATTTCTAATTTAGTTCGACATTTACACTTTCAGCGTTTTCTAAATTGTTATTATTGGTGAGATCTTCCTTAATTCCTATTTGCTGTCACAAGAATTGAATGAATAATTTGTGAGTGAAGAAATTATCAAAAGAGAATCGATGAGAAAATTTTGTGGTGAAATGTGAAAGCATTTAGTTTGAAATAGATTACTAAATTTGAAACGGTGATATGGAATCTTACAATGGACATTTTTCTTCATGATTTCAACA